CCAGATAAAACTAGAACAAGAGACTGACTCAACATGCAATATGTTGATCAATTACGCTTCTCAAGGTTGGCCGGAGAAAAACCAGATAGTACCATCCTGTTTACCCTTTTGGCCTCTAAGATATGAAATCTCCATACAGAATGGCTTGTTAATGAGAGGAAACCGAATAATCGTGCCAAATAGGCTACGACAAGAAATATTGGGCAAAATCCATGAAGGGCATATGGGAATTAATAAATGTCGAGCTTTAGCGAATTCAGCAGTATACTGGCCTGGCATTAGTAAACAAATAGAGGAATTAGTTCGGGACTGTCCTTCATGTATACAGGAAGCTAAAAACTGTTCTGAACCTTTGAAACCAACTAGTTTTCCTCAGAGACCATGGGAAATTGTAGCTATGGACTTATTTAAACTCCATGCAGAATGGTATTTATTAGTTACAGATTTTTACTCACGTTATCCAGAAGTGGCAAAACTGGATAGTTTAACATCAAAAGAAGTAATTTTACACTGCAAATCAATTTTTGCCAGACATGGAATTCCAAATGTTGTAAGATCAGATAATGGACCACAGTTTGAAGTTACTAGAACAGCAGAGTTTCAAAACTTTGCAAAAGTATACGGTTTTAAGCACATTACTTCAAGTCCAAGATATCCTCAAAGCAACGGTTTTGTTGAAGCAGCAGTGAAGATAATTAAATTAAGATTCAAAAAGTCTAAAGATCCTTACTTGGCTTTATTGAGTTATCGGACAACACCTTTAAAGAACGGCTACAGTCCTGCTGAATTGTTGATGGGGCGTCGACTACAGTCAACCTTACCTTTAGCAATTTCACTACTTCAACCAAAGCTAATAGAGAAGGAGATATTGGAAGAAAAAGAAGAGAAAAGAATAGAAAGACAGAAAAAGGATTATGATCGGAGGCACAATGCTCATGAATTGAAACCAATACATCCGGGTGACAAGATATGGATAACTGATAGGAAGGCTGTTGGAACTGTACAGAGAAAAGCTGAATCACCAAGGTCATACTTTGTTAAAGAAGGCAAACAAGTGCTTCGACGGAATAGGAAACATTTGATTCCAGGATCTAAACTACAGATTCCACCGCTAAACGATGATTTAGAGGAAGCTCTTTCAGAAAGGGATAACAGAAGGAGCTTACCAGAAATAACGGATCCAGATCCTACAGTGTTAACTCAGAAGAAGGATGTATCTTCAAAAACTGTTGTGACTCGCTCTGGAAGAATTGTGAAAGCTCCCAATAGACTAAATCTTTAAAGGGGGGAGATGTGGCATCAGCCAGATTAACTGTAACTGTGTACTAATTGTTTAGTTTTAGTTTCAGTTTGCATTTATGTTTAGTTTCTGTTTGTGTTTGTGTATCTCGTTAAGTTGTTATTAAACGTGTTTGCAAGATGCTAGATCCTGCTCATTTATTTAATATGTACTGAAATAATACATAACAACACAGTCTGCATTAAGACAGCATTAAATATTTACTTTAATCTGTACTTTCAATGTTAAGAATCAAAATGTTTTTAAACATGTAATTTCAAATGTGTTTAACACACACCAAGAAAGAAATTAATTTCCTTAACTAAAATTAATTAATGCAGCAATTTATCTAAAATAAATTTTAAAACTAAGAAAAGAAAATAATAAAAGTATCAATAATTTAAAGCACTGTTTTTTAACTTTTAAAATCAATATAATATACATATAAAAATCAGTTGATTTAAATCAATGATTTTTTTAAAAAAATCATTTGATTTTTATCATGATTTAAATCAAGCTGATTTAAATCAATGAACCCTGCTCTGAATGCGCCCTCTTTGACTTTTTGTTAAAGTAAGCCACCATCTCTTTAAAAAAAACTCCCACATTCACTTTTTTAGAAAATTAACTGTTAAAATAATAATTACACTCTGGTAAAATTATCTGTGTTAATAGGTTTAATTCTGATTACTGTTACTTAGGATAATTCTCAACTGGTTAAATTTTTTCTCTTATTTTCAAGAGGGGTGTACATATATGAATTTAAGTGATTTTAAATTTTAAAATTGTTTTTAAGTAAAAAACTTTTAAGCTGTTTTATCAAAAGAATCATGTATTTTTGTTCACTTTTAAAAAAGTGTATGCATAGAGATTGTCTTTTAACTTGCCTTTAATTATTTTTTATGCACTGCTAATTTTGATGATGAGTGAGAATTACTTTTTGACCTTGTGGCAGAACTTTTTCTGGCTTTCTGCGGCATACCTCTCTAATACTAATATCTTTCTGCAAGATGCATTTAAAAATAACAAATGTACATGTTACTAATTTAAATTATTACTTTTTTAAGTGAATATGTATTTTTTTTTTTAAATTCTAATATGTCGATATTCTTGCATTTTTTTAGGGAGGAAAGACACTGGTTATTTTTTTTTTCGTCTTTTGTAAATCATCATAACATTAAAAAAAAAAAAATTGTGAAATCCATGGCACTAATTACCGAAAAAAGATCGACTACAAAATCTTGTAAATCGGACTCCTCAAAAAGAGGCTACTAAATGCATGTTTTCATTTTGAGATTCAGTTGTTGTAATAAATAATACAGTATTAAAAATATTTGATTTTAAAAGCTATGTGTAAATCAGTAGTAATAATTACATGAAAAAATTAAACGAAAATTTCTGCAGAAAAGAAAACCTAAACTTTTTACTTCATTCCTCTTTATTTTTCATTGTTCTCAAATGAGAACAGAAGAATCACTAGCATTTTTTTCCCTCTCCGATGAGTGAGAAAAGCATCTTTTGAATATAATACTGAAGAAAAGAAAAAATCTTTCAAAAATTTCTGCAGGAAAGCAAAAAAAGTTTTCTTCCCAAAGGAAAAATCTTTCTGTAAGAACTCGGTAACGTTCTGCAACAACGTCGCCGTGTTGTCACGATTCTGCCACAGGGCTTTTTGAAATATGCACATAGAATAATATAAAAGGGTAATTTAAAAATTGTTGAGGGTCAAATTCAGTTATTACATGATATTACACATTTTGATAAATTTGATGATGCTTCTGGACTTCGGTTGCCGATATACTCTTACAAATGTTTCTGCCTTCATCATGCAAAATTTTTACTTATATTTAATTTAAAAAATTTTCTGTATATGTATCAAATGTTTAACATACATTTTCCCAGTATTATTTTCAAACTATTTTTTTCCCCTCAGTTTTTTTCTGCTTTTTGATCTAAATGTACTTTAGGAAAGTTATGGGATATTCATTTTATTTACAGTTTACATTTCTGCAGTATTTGTTATTATTTATTTCTATATTGACTATTTGAACTTTTTTTTTTCTTTTTATCTCCCACCAAAGCATTTCTAAAATATATTTATATGAATAAATAAATATAATATTTTATATGCTCTTTGATCTGCATCTTTTCCCTTGTAATGGGATCCTTTTTCGGTTTTTCCCTTTTGCGATATTCTTTTTTTTCTCAACTTTTCATCTGCTTTCTTTTTTGGGCATGATAACTATAAAAAGGAAAAATAAAATATTGTAATATAAATTTTGTTAAACCTGTTGATCTTATTTTAAATTAATTATAGTATCCTTTAATTAGAAATTGAAGATTTAAAAGTTAAATTGAGTAAGTTATCCTAATAAAATTCTTAGATGTTTCTAATATTGATTCTGCTATTCCCTTAATATTTGCCCTCAAAATACTTGAATATTTCATTTAAGAATTTAACTTAAAATATTTGTGTATATGTCAATCATTGACTGCTTTAAAAATTAACAAAGTGAAACAAAATTATATTTTTAACTTTTCTTCAAAAGCATTAGAAACAATCCCTCACAAAAGTGTCATTCTGTTGCAGTTTCCATTCACGTACAATTTCAACCTAAAGCAATATCTTCAATTTTAATATACAGGGTAATCACAATTCTAACTGCATAACATCATCTTGTGCATCCTTCTGTATGACATCATCTCTATTATTATTCAAGATGGCCATTTCACATGTTTGTCTTCACACATGGATTGCCCTGTAACCGAATTTTTTCGAGCTATCTGCAACAAAACTCTCTAGCACTAATATCATTCTGCAGGATGCTTTTAATAATAACAAACATATATGTTACTAATTTGAAATAACAGAAGCGCTGTGTTTGCAACAAAAAAAACTATAAAATATTTTTTTAATTGAACATGTAATAATTTTTTATTCTAATATTATGGATGATATTCTTGCATTTTGTTTGGGTGACGCACAAATTATTTCCTTCTTCGCATTTTGTAAATAATCATCACAATAAAAAAAATAAGAAGAATCATGAAATCCTAGTACCTAGTTATTGCCGGAAAAAAAGATCGACGACCAAATCACGTAAATCGATTCTCCAAATGCGTGTCTCGTTTCGAGATTAGAATTATTGCTTTAAAAAGTAAATACTCAAATTCACGATTCGAGTTTTCCATATTGTTTGAAATATATTGGGATATTTGAAAGACCTCTTGAAAATCAATATCGATAACTGCCGGAAATACAGTTTTTAATATTACCTGTAAATTTCTGTAGAAAAGAAAAGAAAAATTTTTTGCTTTTTTATAGAAAAATCCTTTTGTAAGGACTACTTTTTAATTCGTTTTCTTTATTTTTTCTGTTATAAAGCAATATTATGACTCTCTTATAATACTCAATATACAAGTACGACATATTATGCAAGGATGGCACCAGACTTTGCCCGACAAGGGGTCAAGTCTCCTCCTACAGGGGGCTCAAGCAAATTAATTCATAATATTTAAATTGCAATGAATGTTATACTTTCAATTTTTTCTTACATTATTTGTTTCAAGTTCTGAGAATCTAAAATCGCTATTATTGATATCAGAATGTGCAGATTCATTTTAATGTAAATTTAAATCACTTTTTTTTCCTGTTATCAATGTATTTTGTACTATATGGTGCAATTTATCACACATTGTAAGCTTAAAAATTAAATCTGTAATCAAGAAAAATAGTTGTAGCAGTCACTGCTATTTCAAATAATTTCTACGCTTCTTACTCTCATAATGCAAAAATTATTCGATAATAAAAACTTGAAATTTCATGCACATTTAATAAAGCATTCTGATTAGAAAATGTTATTTTTATATGCATCGATTGGCTTTTGAATCATTTAAATGTTTTGCAAATAAAGTTATGAGTACATTTTTTGCATCCACGCATTATATCGAAATGGTTATGCCCATTAAATTGTGAAATTAAAATTTTTTTTTTCAATTGTTACATAGTGTAATTTTACGGCCGAAAAAAAGGGCTATTTTAATCAGGGGGCTTGATGTTAAGATATATTGTAAATAAATACAAAGAGACTTTTAAAATTTCCTCTTATGATTCCTTTTTCTTTTCAAAAATGTTTTTAAAGTGAACATCTATGTTTGGCAAAATGCTAATTTCTCCTTTTGAAAAAAAAGAGTCCATTGCCTTAAATTATAAAATTCAAGCAACATAGCTAAAATTTGTAATGATTTTATAATTTACAAATTTTAAATTTGCGTCCATGAAATAAATATTAACTAACTTATATTTTTTTTTAAAAAATGCCACGTGGCAGAATTTTTTCGAGCTGTCTGCGACAAAACTCTCTAGCACTAATATCTTTCTGCAAGATACTTTTAATAATAATAAACATATATGTTGACGCCCGGTGGCTGAGTGGTAGCGCTTCGCGCTGCCGTGCCACAGGTCCTTGGTTCGATCCTTGGGCCGGGCAAGGCCGACTCAGCCTTTCATCCCTTCGGTGGGTCGATAAAATGAGTACCTAGCATGCTTGGGAACTAACACTGGGGGTTCCGCGTTCGGCTGACCACCCGACCGGAACATATGCTCCTGCACCCCAGAGCCCAAGGTCAAGAAAACTGAGATGGGCACAGTCGGCCTTGGCCCTCTTAATGGGCTGTCGCGCCACTGAGTTAGTTAAACATATATGTTACTAATTTAAAATAACAAAAGCGCTGCGTTAACAAAAAACTATATATAATTTTTTTCAATTGAACATGTAATTTTAATTCTAATATTATAGGTAACATTTTCGCATTTTGTTCGGAGGGGGGGAGCAGAAATTATTTCCTTCGCCTTTGGTAAAAAAAAAAGAAAGAAAAATTTTAATATTAACTAACTTTTTTTTTTTTTTTTTAAAATGCCACGTGGCAGAATTTTNTAAGTTGACCACTTGTCTAAGTTGACCACTAAAACAATGCACCACAAGTGGTCAACTTACACAAGTTTTACTGTATGTTACTAATTTAAAATAACAAAAGCGCTGTGTTAATAAAAAACTATATATAATTTTTTTCAATTGAATATGTAATTTTAATTCTAATATTATAGGTAACATTTTCGCATTTTGTTTGGGGGGGGGAGCAGAAATTATTTCCTTCGCCTTTTGTAAAAAAAAAAAAGAAAGAGAGGAAGAAAAAATTTAAATCATTAAATCCGTAGTAGTACTTGGCGGGAAGATTTCCGTTTTGCCCTTCAGAAGCTCTTTACATATTGGCATA